GATGTTACTACCGAAATGATGTTTCATGTAGTTCCAGATCATATTCTTGAACATGATGCTATCATTGGGCGCAATCTCTACGACGATCCAGAGATTTATACAATTACAGATCATAATGGTACGCGTGTTGTCCGCAGCAAAACCGCAAGAATATTTCGAGTTATGCCAGAAAGTGTTCAAGAATTAATAAATGTCCCAGAAATATATCGTCCAGAACTCGCCTCTGTACTAGCAGAATTTCCAGAATTGACTCCTACAGATGGGTTTCTTCCTGAAGTGAATAATGCAACTTTGAAAATAAGGCTTAAGGAAGAATTTGTTGTAAATCGTAACCCATATCGTTTAGCAGCTAGTGAGAGACAAGCGGTTCGTGAAATCGTCCAAGAACTTATGATGAAAAATATTGTTCGAGAAAGTGAGTCCCCATTTGCAAGCCCCATTATTTTAGTGAAAAAAAAAAAAGGAGGGACCGTATAGAATGTGTGTGTACTATAGAGAACTCAATGCGCACACTGTAAAAGACAAATTCCCTCTCCCGCTGATTGACGATCAACTGGACCGTTTAGGAAAAGGCAGTATTTTCACGTCACTTGACATGTCTGCAGGGTTTCACCAAATTCCAATTGGTGAAGACTCAATTGAAAAAACAGCTTTCGTCACACCTGACGGACACTTCGAATATTTGCGAATGCCGTTTGGGTTGGCCAACGCTCCTGCTGTATTCCAGCGATCCATTAACAAAGCTCTTGGCCAGCTCAAGGATAACGTAGCACTAGTCTATTTGGACGACATCCTTATACCATCCCAAACAATCGAAGATGCTTTGGAATCACTAAGGCTTGTTTTTAGAGCTTTGCAACAGGCTGGATTTTCTTTAAATTTAAAAAAGTGTCACTTTTTGCAAGACAAACTTGAGTACCTGGGAAGGGAAGTATCTGCAGAGGGAATAGGACCAGGTCCCCGTAAAGTAGAGGCACTTTTAAATGCACCAACACCAACGTCGGTTAAACAAGTCAGACAGTTTATGGGCCTGGCCGGATATTTCCGGAAATTTATACCGGAGTTCGCAGCAAGAACTGCATGCATTACTAAGCTGACTCGTGCTAATGAGCCCTTCTCGTGGACTAGTGAACAAGAAGTAGCCAGAAAGTATGTTATGGACTACTTAACTTCCATTTATCCATTATTGGCTATTTTCGATCCTACCCTGCCAACCGAACTACATACGGATGCCAGCTCAATTGGATATGGTGGTATACTGATACAAAAGCAAGAAGGAAACACGCGCGTTATTGGATATTTTAGCAAACGTACCTCAAAATATGAAGAACATTATCATTTCTACGAGCTGGAAACTTTTGCTGTTGTTAACTCTCTGCGACATTTTCGTGTCTACCTTTTGGGAGTACACTTCACTTTGGTCACTGATTGCAACGCAATAAAATCTACTGCAACTAGAAAAGATATTTTGCCACGGGTAGCCAGATGGTGGATCTATATGCAAGATTTTAACTTCTCCATAATATATCGCAAGGGCAGCTCCCTGCCGCATGTTGATTACTTGAGCCGCAATCCGATAGTACGTCGTGTAAATGCCAAAGAAAATAACTGGCTTTATATAGAGCAGAGAGGCGACTCAGAAATTCTCCAGTTAATCAACGATGCAAAGGAAGGCCGCATCGATAGGACCCGTTATGTTGTTACAAATGGTATATTGCATTACGTTCTCAACTCTCCTGATGGTAAAAGTACAAAGCCATTTGTTCCAAGGCAAAGTCGTCTCGGATTATTACGAATTTTCCATGACGAGCAATGCCACGTGGGTACTGAAAAAAACTATCGAACTCGTCCAGAGACATTTTTGGTTTCCACGACTCAAGTCATTTGTCAAGAAATATATCAAACATTGCTTAATTTGCGCTATCAAAAAAAACTCGAACGGGTCCATTACAAGGCTTTATATCAAATGTTGAAAAACCGCAATCACCTATGCAAATTTTGCATGCTGATTGTTTAGGTCCACTAGTGAAATCCACCGAAGGATATAAACATATACTCGTTATAATAGATGCTTTTACAAAATACTGTTATCTACAACCTCTGAAAACAGTAAAAGCCGAAGAGACACAAACTGCATTCCAATCGTTTATTGCTTTATTTGGAACACCTACCCAAATTATAATGGATGCGGGTACAAATTTTAAAAATTTGAGCCTTCCAGAGTTTTTGGAAACCCTTGGTATCACTTCCGAAGGACGTTACGAATTGAGACGAGTAGGAAAAACTACAATAACGAAAGCTGCCAAGGAACAACTTCGCGAATGGCCGAAAGACTGGTCGCTTACGATGGACCTGCCGGAATTGCTTGATGTATTGGAAAATGACCCAAGGTCAGTATAAAATGTTATGTTGAGCCATGTTAGGAATATTAAAATAATGTATATTTGGGTGTATTTTGGTTGACGTTCAAATGCTTGTACGCTTTACGTTTATTTATTTGTATGTGTGTTGAAATGCTTGTACGCTTTACACAGTGTAGAACGTTCGAATGCTTGTACGCTTCACGTTTATTTCTTTGTGTGTGTGTTAAAATGCTTGTACGCTTTACACAGTGTATAACGTTCAAATGCTCGTATGCTTTACGTTCATTTATTTGTATGTGTGTTGAAATGCTTGTACGCTTTACACAGTGTATAACGTTCAAATGCTTGTACGCTTTACGTTTATTTATTTGTATGTGTGTTGAAATGCTTGTACGCTTTACACAGTGTAGAACGTTCGAATGCTTGTACGCTTCACGTTTATTTCTTTGTGTGTGTGTTAAAATGCTTGTACGCTTTACACAGTGTATAACGTTCAAATGCTCGTATGCTTTACGTTCATTTATTTGTATGTGTGTTGAAATGCTTGTACGCTTTACACAGTGTATAACGTTCGAATGCTCGTACGCTTCACCTTTATTTCTCTGTATGTGTGTTAAAATGCTTGTACGCTTTACACAGTGTATAACGTTCGAATGCTCGTACGCTTCACCTTTATTTATTTGTATGTGTGTTAAAATGCTTGTACGCTTTACACAGTGTAAATCGTTGAAATGACCGTACGCTTATTTATTTGTATGTGTGACAAAAGGCTTTATACGCTTTACACAGTGTAAAATATTGAAAAGCTCTTAACGCTCTACGTTTGATTGTTAATTAAGCCTGTATGCCTGTTGCTGAATGAAGGAATATTTGTGCCTCTAATTCGGATATGAAATAAATGAAACTTTCGTCATTTTAGTACCAACGCCGAGAGTACTATGGAACCTGTTGATGAAGGTGTTGCAGAATGACAAGGACTCCGAGATCGAAGTCCTCGCAGGATTGGCCGTGTTAGGAATATTAAAATATTTCATACCCTTATTCAAATATTCCGCTGACTAATCTGTTTTTTTGTTGTTTGTTGATATATCCGAAAAGGTGAGCCGCGATCGGTCGTGTCGACTTCACTTCGGTGACGACTCTAGCACGCTCGTGTTATTAGCCGCTCGATTTATTTTGTTTGTAATTATTGATTTATAGTTGTGTATACTCATCAAAAATATTGTCGAAGTTAGTGCAATAAATATTCTGTTGTCAAATTGAGGTGAGTTGTGTCTTTTAGGATTTTTCTAACACTATTATATTTACAGTCGAGGTTAAAATGCAAAGGGAGGTTATACATTAGATTATAGAAGGCGTGGCAGATTCAGAGGAAATAGAGATGGAAGTTACCATAATAGACTAGAAAATAGAATAAGTGACACTAAACAAAACAAAAGAATACTAAGTGATGTACGCAGCAAATATTGATAATATAAATCAACACAAAATATCTTTGGTCATAGATCAGTAGCGCCCAAACACTTTTTTTCGATATATATGACGGAATTGCAGATTTTTCTGTAATTTGTTCATTCTTGCAAATTTGCAGATGCAAATATACTGTAATTGGGCCCTAAGTAAGCTACCTCTCAACATTTGATATTTTTCCTTTCCTACATATTTAAGTATAACTTCCCTTTTAAAATACAAATCTTTAATAAAATTATATTTTTTTATTTCTATATGCTTAGTGCGTTTAGAGTTCCCAAAATTCTTAATTAAAGAAATTGCACTATTTTTAACGTGATTGGATTGGACTCACCAAACTCTGATAGTATGCCTTTCAAGTTGACCAGCTCTTGTGCTGCCACACCTGCAGCCACGTGCTCTGCCTCCATTGACGACAGGCCAGGGCAACACAGTTTTGCTTCCTGAAGTGCCATGCAATTACAATCACACAATGAAAACTAAGAAATCCACTGATACTGATACTCTTCCTAGTTAGCTTATCACCACCGAGTTAGAATGTGAATGAGCTCATCGCTGTTACAATGGAATGGATTAGTTGTGTTTTGAAAAGTTTCCTTTAGTTTAAGAACGTTATCATCCGGACGCTGTTGAAGTTTAACGGACACTTCATGATGTTTACTTCGTTCTGTACTTACAAGTCCTATCATTTTCTCAGTTTCACATGCAATTCTAGTTAGTTCCGAATTAGCAAGAAAGAATTGATTTCGAGCATTTTCATTGAGCGTTATACCAACAAGTCCTTCATGTTTCTTTAGTTTTCGATTTTGCTGTTCCAAAGCTTCATCCGCACCAAGAGCACAAAATGGCACTGAACTTCTGTTCACGACCCAATTACCCTCCATGAATTGTTTCCAAATCTATGGATCTTCAGATTCCAAGCTCTCCATCTCTGAAAGATAGAGGGTGATCATTCGTGCATAATTCACTCTGTTAAATGCAAATAATTATTTTATAAACTCCTGGAGTGATGCTTAGTATAGCCTCCAATCCGATGTTTTTACAGCTCTTATGAAGTTCATCATTACTTGCACCATATCCATATATGTGCACGCTAGTTTGAAAACAGGATATTTGAGGTATCCTGTAGTTGAAAATTTTTCTATTTCGTCGATAAGATTTTTTTCTCTAATGCAGCATGTACTGCTTCAATAGTTCTTTTAGTTCTCCAAACAGTTGAAGAAGTGGCTTAAAATAGTCTAATTGTTCTGGACACTCTTTCTCAAATTCTTTCAGGCGCAGGCTTGTTAAAGCAGAGACAGTAGTTATTTGAGCTTCAATTGCTCTTCTGATGTGCTTTCCCTCAAGGATTTGTTTCATTATTGCTGCAGAATATAAGTAACATTCCACACATAGCTCAGGTATACCAGATCCTTGAATAAACTCTCCGATTGTTCTTAGCTGAGCAATTATAATATGCAGTTCCCCAGGCTTTACAAGCCATTTTTTCTTCAAGTCTTTGACAGCCATTTCTATTTGTTTTAAAGGTTTGTAAAGAGCCATGTCAACTGTGTAAACTACCCGTTTCTTGGTGGCCTGTTCATCCAAACTTGAATAAAGGACTATACTATTCAGTTTCTCCAATTGCTTCATCACAGTAAGCTGCACTGATCGACTAGTTGGTGACTCTGGGATCCAATTTGGTGGGTTTGCCATTGTTAGTATGGTTGGGAGAGCACTATTAAAGAATTTCTGGCGACACTCATGTGGTGAAACTAATGAGAGTGGTACAGATGTATCAGACTCTTTGATATGCAGTTATAACAGAACCATGAAGTGTTCTTCTACCACCTGCAGTGTCTTCATTGTGTGTATTGTATTGTGACCAGAGCCGCTTTCCAGTATGGGAGTTTGACGCCCGGAGCTACTCGGGGCGTTGAGCCCCCGAGCTGTACGTACGCGTCAACCTGTCAGCTGTCACATCCGTGAGTGGCTATTTATTTATTTATTTCTTGTTATATCTCAAGATTGAACATTTTAAAAAATATAGTTTTGATTCTCTTTCATTTATGATAAATAAAAAAACAAACTGCACAAACAAACAGATAATTATTTTTAAAATTTGACATATTTGACACTAAGACGGGCGTCTCACGTCATTATACTGGAACGGTACAAATCTAGTGCATGGCGCCCCCGAGGTGCTCTGGAGCGCGCCAGAGCGCGCCAATGTGCATACTGGAAAGCGGCTCTAGTATACTTAGTACTCTGCGATGAAACTACATTTTCTTGAGGTTGAATGCAGTCTGCAGAGGACTCTTGATCTTTAGACGTTGACTGCGAACACTCGTACTTTTTTTGAATCCTATCGATTATTTTTTTATGGATAACAGTTTGGTAACATGATCGATGCCACTTCACATTGTTGAGTTGCAATGTCTCTACGTTAAAACCACTTCCGAAAATGTTCACTATTTTATCACTATCCTCTTCAACATATTTGGCACGCTTTGTAAGACACTCAATAATTTTCTCATAACTATCGTTCGAGGGTTCTGAAACACATTCCTCCAACGATTTAGTACTACAAATGAAACAGCATAGCACTAAATACAGGCTCCATAAGTCTTGACATATTCTACTCTAAAACAATAGAAAAAACAAAGTTAAATGTTACTCTAATATGTAACATTGGCCATGGTACAAATACAGTTCTGAAATAAAGTTAAATATAACATATTAGAGCCACGGCACAAACACAGTTCTGCCACTTCACCAAAAAATTTTAATTACATGTTTCGTTATCAATACTAGCACCTTCAGGAGAAGATCAATAAGTTTTTTTATTGTCCCAAAAATACTAACATAATAAGTGGAACACGTTTTGGTGAAATGGTTTAACTGTGTTTGTGTGTCACGCCAAAGAATGCACTCCCATAGCATAAAGCTCTGAAATAATTTTAAAATTATTGTTCTGGGAAAACGGTTTGCTACGGCGGCCATTTTGTTTTTTGTGCGCATCACTCAAACGCACCAATTTTTAGAGTGCCAACATCGAAATTATGTATCTAGCTTAAAGAGTTAAGGCCAAACAAAGAGAATGAGGCTACAACCACACTTGCATCATCACGGAGCACACGAGAGCCTATTTTTGTACACTTGAAAGGCGTCTATGAAGAGTATACAATTTATATTTGGAAAACTATTGTAGAATACCATTAATAAACTTTATGTATTGTATTGTATTATATTTATTTATTCAAACACCAAACTACAGAACTTTAAAGCTACAAATGATAAACTCCTCAACCAAAAATAAATAAAAGAACTTAAAAAAAAAACGCATAAAGCATCCGTACATTTTGTATTCGCAAAAGTTACATTGAAACCATAGTTTACCAATTTGCTTGGATTGCTAAATTTAACAAAGCAAATATTAGGTTCAAACTTACACTTATCTAGCTGAAAGAATCAAATGAATCTTCAAATCGCTTTTTCCGTTTAAATTTTGATTTGCAAATGTAACATTCAAAAAGAAAAATATGAGAATGTATTAGTTTGCGTCTCTTCAAATTGTCTCTTCCTTTAAATTTTGCTTTGCAAATGTCACATTTAAAAGGATAAATATTTGAGTGTGTTGAAATGTGCCTTTTCAAATTACATTTTCGATTTAATTCAGCATTGCAAATGTCACATTCAAATGGATAAATTTCTAAATGTGTTCGTTTGTGAACCTTCAAATCGCTCTTCCGTTTAAATTTTGATTTGTAAGTGTCACATACAAAAGGATAAATATCTAAATGTGTTAAAATGTGGCTTTTCAAATTACATTTTTGTTTGAATTTTGCATTGCAGGTTGCATTTAAAATTCTTCTCAACCAAGTGTGTTAGTTTGTGTCTCTTCAAATAGTCTTTTCCTTTGAATTTTGCTCTGCAAATGTCACATTCAAAAGGAAAAATATTCGAATGTGTTGAACTATGCCTTTGCAAATAAGCTTTTCGTTTAAATTTTGCATTGCAAATGTCACATTCAAATGGATAAATATTCGAATGTGTTAGTTTGTGAATTTTCAAAATGCCCTTCCGTTTAAATTTTGATTTGCATGTGTCACATTCAAAAGGATAAATATCCGAGTGTGATAAAATGTGCCTATTCAAATTAAATTTTCGTTTAAATTTTTCATTGCATATGTTGCATTTAAAATTCTTCTCATCAAAGTGTGTTAAAATGTGCCTTTTCAAATTACATTTTTCTTTAAATTTTGCATTGCAAATGTTACATTCAAATGGATAAATATCCGAGTGTGTTGAAATGTGCCTTTTCAATTCAGATTTTTCTTTAAATTTTGAATTGCAAATGTTACATTCAAATGGATAAATATCCGAGTGTCTGAAAATGTGCCTTCTCAAATTACATTTGTCTTTAAATTTTGCATTGCACATGTTGCAACTAAAATTCTTCTCATTCGAATGAGTTAATATGTGTCTTTTCAAATAGTATTTTGTTGTGAATTTTGCTTTGCAAAGGTTGCATTTAAAAATTTTCTCATCCAAGTGTGTAAGTCTGTGTCTGTTCAAAATTCCTTTTCTTTTAAATTTTTTGTTACAAGTGTCACATTCAAACGGAGAAATATCCGAGAGTGTTGATATGTGACGCTGTAACTCATTTTTTTGGGTGAATTCCGCTTTGCAATTGGATTCAAAAGGACGAATATCCAAATGTGTTATTGAATGATGTTCCAAATTTGATTTGGTATTAAACATAGCATTGCAAGTGTAACATTGAAACTTCGTAATACCATATTTTCTTGATAAATTGATGTCACTCGAATGTTCTTCTTCCTTTATAAATATTCTTTTATTTGGATCAATTAATTCAATATCTGTTACTTCCATTTCGTTTTTGATGCCATCTTCCAGATATTCATTTATCATAAATCTAAAAAAAGAAAGTTTTTTAGATTCATATTTAGATTTTGAAATTACACTAGGTAGGTGGGATTAAGATTCGAAATTCGAGAAATTAATAAAATATAAAAAATTGTGGTGAGATTAGTTTTATTACTCATACAAAAGTAAAAAGAATCCCGTTTCAATGTATAAGAGAATTTAAAAGTATTTTAAAATATGGCTGCAACCCTATCACTAATTCATTCTTTATATTATTTAGAGGATTTTTTTCGGGTAACGCTTCTCGGATTCTTTTGATGATCCATGGTTTTATACCACCAAGTTGTTTTCCCGTGAGAATTCTATCAATTGATTATCATTGCTGTTGGTTTTGTGGCTACCCCAACTGGATCAAATTTCCCATGATAAGGATTTCTACTTCTTATTGGGAAATTATGTCTTCTCGGCAACGTCGCACTTGCCATCTTGTTTAAGGAATTCACGTGGTACCTAAAATGGAATACTAAAATCTTCTCGGTAATTTACTTAATCCAGAAATCTGTAAAGCCAGTTTTGTCAGTTGAAATATCATAATTTGAAATACTTTTCACTCTATTATCATCAGATTTGAATGTACTATTCTCATATATGTGACTTAAATACCGTAGGAGGAGGGTAGCCTTGACCAACTAGTTGAACTACAAATTTTTCAATTTTGGGGTATCGGTCCATTTAAGCTTTCGAAAATGTTTATTTTTTTCTTCGGGGCTAAAATATGGAAATTATTGACAATTTAATTTGCTGTGGTCCGAATATAACCAGTGTTGTGGTTTTGCGGTAATCAAATTATTCTGGTTCTGGAAAAGTGGTTAATCAAATGTCAAAATAGTTACCGGCCATCGGATGTCGGTTGGTTTTATCTGTAATTTCTGTCAATTATTTTTTATTTCAAATTTGCGTTCCCCAAGTAACTGGAATTTTCAGTAACCATCTGTCAGCCGCTTCGGTTACTTTGGTTAACGTTTGGTTATATTCGAAGCATAGCCTAAGTATTACATTTTTTACTCACTGCTTTTAGCTTAATCGTTAAGTGACTTTCAAAAATAGAAAACATCTTCCAAATTTGCACTTTAATACTGTACTTGTTTTAAGCGATATTGAAATTTACTTTCATTAAATTTGATATTGTTCAATTGTTTTCTTTAGGTTGTAACATTTTTCCAAAATACGAGCATGTTGCTCTAGAGTTTTAAAAATGCTAAAAATTTGTTCGTTTTACCTTTGAAAAACTCTTGCAGCAATATACAGGATGTCCTGCGAGATTCAACCCAGGTGATAGTTTCGGAACGCGTCACAGTATGTTTCACATGTGTACTTTTTTTAAAAATAATATTTTAATAAATATGTGATAAAGCTTGTGAGGCTTTCGTGACCCAGATTTATTGATAAGGTGTCAGGAAGAAATGTCAACTTACGACGGCTATCAAGCCCGAATGAAAACACCTTACCAATAAATATGTCATTGCTGATTTTGTAATTCAATTTTCTAACGAAAAATGCCATAATATATCATGGGTAACATTTAAAATTTGTTGCCGTCATTTGACTGAGACTGAAACGAAAATGGTGAAATTGGATGAAACATGAAGAAGCGGCACAGAAATTTACCCAGATCCTAATAATTTCAATTTAATTGATTGACGCGTTCCGAAGTTATCACCTGGGTGAAATGTCGTGGGACACCCTGTATAAGCTAAATGGTAGGTAGTCCATTAAAAAAAAATTGAAACTAAACATATGCCTAGCAGATGTCCGGTTGCAAAATTTTAATTTTTTGAGCTCAGCACTGACCTTATATTCAGTGCTTGAAATTTAGGGGCCCGATTCTCGTCTCAGGGAGTAAAGCTCCACGAGAGAACACATTTTTTGTCTTCATCATTCTCATTTACATTTCGATTGCGTTGACAAGGACAAAACATTCCTTCTATCGGGGAGCTCTACTCCTTGAGACGAGGATCAGGCTCCAACAAAGAGAAAATTAGTCAGTAAAATCTGTCATTAGAAATTTGAAACTGTGAGCACGTTGAGGAATGTGGAGAAGAAAGTTATGTATTTGGTGCAAAATTTTTATTTATAATTCAGTGCAGAGCGCTTTCGGCCTAGGCCATCTTTAGTGTTACTTAAAAAGTGAGACAACAACATCTATTGTAATTTCAAAGTTGAAATATGAAATTTGAAAA